CCTACCCTACCCGGCAGCTGCCCCTTCTCGAGCTTTTACCCTCGAGTTGGGGGATCGGAATGGCCGGGCCCTAAAGTGGGGGGTGCTCACGTGGAGCCCGCGTGACGCTTTAGTAACAGCGCGTGCTGTTACAAAGTGATTTTGGGAGTGGTTTTTCGGGTATAAGGGTGTCTTCCGACGCATGTATCGGATCGGTCTCTTTTGTACTTTGTTTGTGGGTCTCAAAACTTCCTCCCTGCAAAAGGACAAAAGCGACATATCATTTTTAAAAAATCGTTCCAGGAACGTTCCAAACTTCAACCAGCTCAAAAGTTCCATTATTTGAGAACAAGTGTCATCGGAGACGCTGCATTAATAATAAATAACTTAAAGATTTCGGAAGCAAATTACGAATCGGCATGGCAACTTTTACTTGAATAATACGACAATAAAGTAACTTTGATTCATGCTCACTTGCATGCTTTCATGAGCATGCCCCTCATGAAACATGAGAGTGTGGTCGAATTGAGAAAACTGCGCGACACAGTGGCTGCATCGCTGGCTGCACTGACGAATTTAAATCGACCGGTAGTTCAGTGGGATGATATGCTCGTGTATGTTATCTCGCAGAAATTCAGTCAAAAAACGAGAAGTGAGTAGAACTTGAAGTGTTCCTCGATAAATTCAATTCCGTCATACAAAGATATTCATGAATTCCTTACAACTCGCATCCGCGGATTGTCTGACTTCGCGGAAATTTCAAGGGAAAGTATTAATCCAAAGCAAAACAAGCGTTCATCAATGCATAATGTTTCCGCCGTCAAATGTCTATGCTGCTCGGGAAATCATTTCGTAACAAAATGCGAGGATTTTCGCCGAAAATCAGTTGAGCAACGAAATGAGCTCGTTCGAAAAAACAAAGTATGTTTTAATTGTCTACGCTCGGGACATATTTCGCCGAAATACTCGAGCAAACATCGATGCACCCACTGTAGTCGTTCTCATCATACGCTATTACATTCCGATAATTATAACTCGTCGGAAGTTAATAAAAAATCGGAAGCAATTAAGACGTGCGTAAAAGCGAATGCAAACTCCGTTACTTTGGGCGTTTCCGATAACGCTGCCGTAGCCAGTGTTCAAACAATTAAGCCGCCTAACGTTACAACTCCGACCGTTCTCCTCGCGACCGCGTGGGTCGACATCCACACCGCTGAAGGCAGATGCTTTAAGGTTCGTGCGCTATTGGATCAAGGATCCAATTTCAGCTTTATATCGGAATCTTTATGTCAAACGATACGCACAAAGAGACAAAGAACAGATTTACAAATTAAAGGATTCGGAGAAAAATACACAGGTTCTGCGAAATCGCGCGTGTCTTTGCGAATGACACCGTGCGCGAAATCCGATCCGGCGTTTCCAATCACGGTGTACGTGTTTCCAAAAATTACTTTGTACGCGGCTTCGCGGATTCAGCCTGTCGAATCGTGGCCTCACTTGAAGAATCTTTCCCTCGCGGATCCGGATCCGTCGAGCAAGCAGCAAATTCACTTGCTTATTGGAGCCGATGTTTATGGCTCACTATTGATGCGCGACTTAAGACAAGGTCCGCTCGGGACGCCCACGGCTCAATTAACCGCGCTCGGTTGGATTATTTCCGGTCTGACCGGAAATAGTAAACGGGATTCATCGGAAGCAGCCGTTCTAAATTGTGTTCTCGGTCAAGAGATAGATGCTCTTCTCCAGCGATTCTGGACAGACGAAGAGATCTCATCGCCAGTCCCCCTCACGGAAGAAGAAGAAATTTGCGAACGACATTTCGTTTAAACACACAGTCAGTCGTCCGACGGGCGATACGTCGTTCGACTACCATTTAAACGAGATCCACTGATCGGAATCGGGGAGTCTCTCTCCATAGTACGGACGCTGTACAGCCGTATGGAAAACCGATTGAAAAGGCAGTCCGAACTCTGCTCGCAATATAACGACTTTCTCGCTGAGTACGAGTCCCTCGGACATATGACTCGCGTCGACGAGGCCGAGAAAACAGAGTATTTACCAGTCTATATTCCGCATCATCCGGTGATTCGGGAAGATAATTGCACTACTAAATTGCGGGTAGTCTTCAACGCCTCATGCAAGACTAGAAATGGCACGACGTTGAATGACTGTTTGCTAATCGGACCGAAGCTGCAGCAAGATCTACCAGCAGTGTTATCTCGATGGCGACGATGGCGCCACGTTTATACGGCCGACATCGCGAAGATGTTTCGACAAATTCGAGTACATAAAAAAGACGCCGACTTTCAAAGAATTCTTTGGCGTCCTCCGGCGGATGCGGTCGTTCGACACTTTCGCCTGTTAACAGTTACTTACGGTCTTGCTCCAGCTCCGTATTTCGCCATGAGAGTTTTGAAACAACTCGCCCTTGACGAAGGCGTCAATTATCCCGCCGCGGTTCCTATTCTGAATGAGTCAATTTATGTAGACGACACGTTGTTTGATGCGGATGACATAGATTCGTTAATCGATACTCGCGTTCAGTTGATGCAGCTAATGGAAAAAGGAGGATTCCAATTAAGAAAATGGGCATCCAATTCGAGCGAACTTCTCGATGATTTGTCGATTGATAAATCTGAAGTAACCGATCATCTAATCCTGACAGAAAATTCGCTTAAAGTCCTCGGACTTTCGTGGACGTCTATCGAAGATTTGTTTCGCCTAGTCGTGAATTCGAATACCCCCATCGTTCCTACTAAACGATCAATCCTTTCGTTTGTCGCAAAACTGTACGACCCTCTTGATTGGGCCGCTCCGGTCATAATAGTAGCAAAAATAATGCTGCAAAAATTATGGTTATTGCATTGCGACTGGGATGCGCACCTCCCCGGCGAATTAAAATTACGCTGGAACGATTTCGTGTTAGATTTTAATAAGTTAGAAATGATTAAAATTCCGCGATGGACGGGCCAAAGTCCGAACAATCTTGCGCTACACGGCTTCGCTGACGCGTCAAATCGAGCATATGCTGCAGTCGTTTATCTCCGCGTCTATCATTCGCTTTCAGATTTCTCAACAAATTTAATAGCAGCAAAAACAAAGGTCGCGCCGGTAAAAACTGTAAGCATTCCGCAGCTGGAGTTAAACGCGGTCGTATTATTGAGTCGCCTCATAAAATGGACGGCCAATTCGTTGCAGTTATTAGGAACTCCGATCCATTGTTGGACGGACTCCACGATCGCTCTGGCATGGTTGCGCCAACACCCGTCAAAATGGACCACATATGTGGCCAACCGAGTAGCGGAGGTTTAGAATAATTTACCATCTACTCGGTGGAATCACGTACCATCGAGAGAAAACCCGGCAGATTGTGCGTCTCGAGGTTTATCCGCGTCTGAGTTGATATCGCATCAATTGTGGTGGACGGGACCACCATGGCTTCGGCAACCCTCGACAACATGGCCGATCCATGACGTAGCGGTTCCGATATCCGCCAATGAAATACAGAAAATTTCGGTCGAATCGCGAAAAACCAAAGTTCTTCATCTTGAAGGTGATGAAGAGTGGGATCTGCTTTATAAATTTTCAAGTTGGACGAAGCTCGTCAGGGTAACGGCTTACGTACGCAGATTTCTCTCATCAATTCGGAAAGAAAGAGTTAGTAATTCTAACCAACCTTCGTCGCTGAGTGTCGACGAACTCAATAAAGCCGAACACTTCTGGATATCTTATGCTCAGATGAGAGCTTTCGATGGCGAAATCAAAGCATTACTGAAGAATGCCGTAATCTCTAAGAAGAGCCCTCTCCGAACTTTAACTCCATTCTTGGACGAGAACTCAGTACTCCGGCTTGGCAGGCGGTTGCGAAACGCCGCTGTTAGCTACGAGGAGCAACATCCCGTAATCATGCCACAAGGACAACTTGCTTATCTGTTAATAGCACAAGCTCATAAGAGTACCCTTCACGGTGGAGTTCAAATGGTGCTTCGCCCCCTTCGTCAAAAATATTGGCTGTTAGGAGGGCGAAACTCTGTAAAAGGCTATATAAGGCGATGCGTCCCGTGTATACGGCATTCGGCAAAACTCTCGAGTCAACTCATGGGGGATCTCCCTTCCCCCCGAGTCAACCCGTCGTCTCCATTTGCACATACGGGAGTGGACTACGCTGGGCCCTTTTTAATCACGCCTTTCGTGGGCAGAGGCCAAAAAACAAGAAAAAATTATATAGTCCTATTCATCTGCCTCGTCACTAAAGCAATCCACATAGAGCTAGTGGACGACTACTCTAATACTGGATTCCTTGCCGCCTTTCGGCGATTTGTAAGCCGAAGAGGCTTACCGTGCAAAATGTACAGCGACAATGGTACAAATTTCCACGGGGCGGACAAGGAGTTGCACGTCGCGTTCAAGGCTTTGATGGAAGATTCGTCGTTGCAAGACACCCTTGCAAATGACAAGATAGAGTGGAAATTTATTCCGGCCGCGGCTCCTCACTTCGGAGGATTATGGGAGGCGGGCGTAAAAAGTTTTAAGTCGCACTTGAGACGAGTAGCCGGTTCGCGTACTTTGTCGCAGGCTGAATTCGCGACGTTGTTATGTCAGATTGAGGCGTGCTTAAACTCTCGCCCGATCGCGACTTTAAGCGACGACCCAAGTGACCTATCCGCACTCACTCCAGGTCATTTCCTAATCGGGCGCCCGATAGTAGCGATACCGGAGGAGTCAGTACTCGAGATCAACGAGAACCGACTTTCGCGATGGCAGTTAGTCCATTCATTAATAGAACAGATTTGGCATTCTTGGTCGCAAGACTACTTGCATTCGCTGCAACAGCGAAGCAAGTGGTCGGTGGAATCGTCGTGTTTTCGCGTGGGCGAGCTCGCGCTATTGAAAAACCCTCTGCTCTCTCCGAGCAAATGGGACCTCGCGCGAGTCACTCAGATCCATCCCGGATCTGACGGGCTCGTGCGAGTTGTTACTGTGCGAACCGCACGTTCAGTTCTAAAACGACCAATTACGCTATTATGCAGGCTGCCAATCAATCGTGATAATTAAGATTGTAATTGCGTTAATAAAAACCTCTTGTAATACAATGAATTTACTGCGTGAATTATGTATTTAGCTTTTAAGAATTCGCTTCAAGTTTGCAAAATTTATGCGAAGAATTATAAGATAAGAAATATAAGCCGTATTCTCATTTTCGACATGTTCTTCGAGCTATGTATTGTAATTATGACTCTGTTATTCGACTCATCACTTAGTCGGTCGGATTTCTATATATGTTTACGCTCGAAGAATCGAGAGATTCGAATGTTTGCCCGAGTTCGGTGCCTATATTTGTTGTTAAGTATGTCTTTCTTACAATCTAAAGATACTTGATCGAAAATTGTAAAGGTGTTTTCGCCCTCTGATTGTATGCTCTCGCTATTTGATTTCCGAAATTTATTGTATTAATTGTTTGTATTGTGTATCAAGGTCGACTGTTAGCTAGATTTCGCATCCGTTCCCATGCGAGGCGGGCGGTATGTTTAAAATTATAACGTATTTTTCAAATTTAAGAAGCGCAGGTCAATTTGACCCATCGAATATTCAGAGTCAAAATATTATTTCGCTTGTTTTCAATTCCGCGAGCGAGAAGTCGACAAAAACTCGGCTTTGTCTCGAATTCCGGAGCGTGATAGGACAATCGCGAGCGAATCCGATTTCGCTTCTCGTGCCACGCGTCGATCGGATGATCGATCGCCGCCGCAGCTACCAAATTTCTCGAGATCGGAGCAGCAGTCTACCCGAGGAGTCCGATCCGGTAAGACGACTCCGTATATTAGCGAAAGACAAAAGGAGAGTGTATAGCGCGACGATTAATCGCGAGAGAGCGAAAGCACGCGTTTCGATTCCTGTTCTCGTGTGTCAAGAAATAAAGAGAATATTGGACAAATCAATTTCTATGCCTTTATTTCCAACTGGATCCAGCCTCCTTCGAGATCGCCGAACAGGCAAAATAAAATAAAGAATTTTACCTCTGCGCGAAGAAAAAAATAAAAATATATATCGAAGGTTCTCGTACAGAATGACAAAAACATCTTTAGCACCTCTAGGCCATTGTCTTTTTTTAATTAGCGTATCGTCAGCTTCAATCCAAGTGTTAGACATTTCTTTTCTATAAACATTACATACCTGCCGATTCCACCAATGTGCACAAAGTGCACTTTCTGTTCACTAACTACAGAATACTAACAAGGGAACGTTCACAAGTGTCCCCCCCCCCGATTTGATTCTCCTTGAAATATGTTGTAAAACATACAATTTGAGGAGACACGTATTTTTTTATAGCGGCCCTAACTCAAATTTAAGGGATAAAACACTCCTTTGAAAAAAAAACGGTTTTTTTTTTGTATGTAACTATCGCCAAAACCGTAGGAGATAAAAAAATGTTTCAAATAGAAGTTGTATGGCTTGTAATGGGCTTTATAACTGTGTAGTTAAATTTTCAAAAAATGTAATTTTTTTTAATTTACCCGCACCCCTTGTTATTATTTTTTCGAATTTCAAAATTTTTGTAATGACAAAAGTTGTAGCATTTTTTACGCTGAATTCAACCATATATAATTTTATTATGTTTCGAAATCGCATCTTTCAAAAATGAGTCATCAGTATCACATTATATGCGTCGCGCTGCATGACGCATCGTTTATACCGCACTTGTGTTGTGCATAGTCGCAAAATAAATATAAAAATGACATGTTATTACATATTTGAGAAAGAAAAGTTAACTAAAATTGTTGCTAAAGCATCCCTTCCACATTACACTCTTATAGATAATCGCTGCATTTCGTGCGCAGCGCGTTGTCATATGCAAGTTAGCTATCAGCGCATATTACACTTTAAAGTTTTTGCTTGCAGTGACCACGGGAAAATAATTTATGAAACGAAAACAGTGAATGAATCAATCTATTCAACATATATATACATATAGTCAACATATATCTACCCTGACTCTATCTTCTTGGCCCGACTTGACTGAGAATGAAATAAAATATAAAATTTTGTACAGTTTACTCTTTTTCAATAATTTTAATGTACTGCGATTCTACATGCTATTACATTCCACTAAATTTGTTTCAGTTTTGAGCGATATGAGTGAACTGTATTAACGTAGGATGGACGCGCTCCGAATTTGGTGCGCGAAGGAAAGTGGCAGTTTATGCCAGTGCCGAATCAAAGTTACTACACTTGAATATAACACATTAACAAATTTATTGATTAATTCACTTCACAAGTATAAACAATAAAGATGAGATCGTTGAAGGAATTTTCAAAACATTCCTTTTCTCCTTTTAATACTGATACGAACAAGATACAATGTATATAAAAGTCGATCTCGCTTGTTATTCACAATCACTAAGTCGAGTCGAAAATCCAAAAGAACCTTCTATAAATATTATTCGTCACATGCAGAGAGTGCCTTCGCAATTGTTTTTTGACCTTGTTTGATCTGAAGGACACCGCTCTCGTGAACGCAAAGTGTACTCTGACACGAGTATTGCATTTTCAAATATTCTTACATGCGATCGAATAATCGGCGTGTAAGAGATGACATTAATTTAACTCACTGACACGTGAATTAAATCTGAAATATGAGTCGCTACTGTTCGTTCACCGACATGTGAAACTAGAACTGATTAAAAGTCGTTACTGTGCGTAATACACTTCAGAGTCTAACAATAGATTACACTTTAACTGAGGG